TAGTATGTATGAAAAGTAGAAAATAAACACTAAACATCACAATATGCAGTTATTGTTAATCAAAGATAATAATTGTTACTTATTATATAATTGTATTGTTTGTTTAAATTTATAAAAAAATATTTTGTCGACTTATATAAATATTTGTATTTGTATGGCGATTGTAGTCTGAAGCATAATAAAATATTAGGTTGTATTAGAAAAATTCATCTTTTATATTATATATATATATGATATATGTCTTACGTATCTTATATGTAAAATTTTTCTGTAATGATGTATGAAAGGATAGTTCTCCTATTCGGTTTTTGATTATTCGGATTTTGATACATTTTTCAGAAGTTTGTAAAGGGAATTTCTTAGGATTTTTTAATTGGCCTATATCATTCAATTTGACAGATTATTATTTTTTAACTAATGCAGTCGTGTTTTGTCTTACTTTATTGAATCACAATACAAAAAAAATTACTTATTCAAGAAATTATTTAGAATTTTTATTGCGTCAAAAATTCATATGATTGGCATTGAATACGCGGAATATTTTTTGAGGTCAATGAGCGTTTTGGGTCTGAACTTTTTTTACTGTGAAATTTTCGAATTAGGTTCATCTTACTCTCAAGTTCAAAAGTGAAAATAATTTATACTCCTTTCCTACTTCCCGGGAGGGAGGGGGTGACACACATCCCTTCTCAGTGGTGTAATTTTATTTTTTTCTAAATAAAGTCGGATATCGATAAAAGAACTAATTAAAAGAGAGAAATGTTTTATAATGTTTTTCAAAAAAGCAAATACTTTTCATGTTACTAACTACTGAAAAATCATTTCTTTTTGGCGTTTTTCATCGTTTTTTTTTTGCAAATATCTTCTATAAATATCTATATATTATTTTAATGTATTTATTTATGGGGTTTTATAGTGCTCAAAATAAGATATAAAATGTGTACTGTTAAGGGTCTGTTTTTTTTTCATTTGAATCAAATAGTTTTATGAGTGCCATTTCCTCCAAAATTGCAATTCAGTAGCCACATAAAAAGTGTTTGCTGTAAAACATTTTTGACGCAATAAAACTTTTAAAGAATTTTTTGATTAAGTAGCTTTTTTTGTATTGTTATTTAGTAAAGTAAGGCAAAACACGACTGCATTAGTTAAAAAATAATCTGTTAAATTGAAATATATAGGGTATGTTCGATGCGCAAGACTGTTCATCTGCGCCAAACATATATACTGTATCCGTATCTGTAAAAAATGAATTTTTCTGATACAACCCAATATTTTATTATGCTTCAGACTACAAAATCTATCGTCATACAAATATTCATAAAAATCATCAAACAAATTTTAAACTAAGAACCAATAAAGTGATATAATAAGTAACAATTGCCTTGTTTATCAATAAATGCATATAATGTGATATGTTACTGTTTATTTTCTACTATTCATACATTATATATATAATGTATGATTACATATACAATAATGTAATATTACATGCAAGAATATTTTGTAACTTTTTTGCCTAATATTTAAATTCTATTGAAGAAACATGTTTATATTTTATTGATTATTATTTTATTTCCGACTATGAAGTGGCATGTGTCTGTTCAAATCATTAAAATCATTTCACATTTATAAGGATGCTTTCTGGGATAAATAAGCATGTGTCTTTTCAGAAGACTTAATTGTGTGAATGTATTATTACAAATAAATAATTACATTCATGGAGATGCATTCAATTGTGAATTTGAATGTGGCGTTTGAGATTACCTAATTCTGTGAATCTCTTACTACAAACGTCGCATTGATGGGGGCGTACTCCATTGTGAATCACCATGTGTGTTTTCAGACGACATAAAAGAGAGAATGTCTTATTACAAACATTGCATTCATAAGGGCGTACTACATTGTGAACGAGCATGTGACATTTCAGACCACTTGATTCGGTGAATGTCTTATTACAAACATTGCATTCATAGGGCCGTATTCCATTGTGAATCAGCATGTGTACTTTCAGACCACTCGATGCTGTAAATGTCTTATTACAAACGTCGCATTTATGGGGACGTATTCCATTGTGAATCAGCATGTGTACTTTCAGACCACTCGATGCTGTAAATGTCTTATTACAAACGTCGCATTTATGGGGACGTATTCCATTGTGAATCAGCATGTGTACTTTCAGACCACTCGATGCTGTGAATGTCTTATTACAAACATTGCATTGATGGGGGCGTATTCCATTGTGAATCAGCATGTGTGTTTTCAAACTACTTGATTGTGTGAATGTCTTATTGCATATACTGCATTCATGGGGGCGTTCTCCACTATGCAAAAGCATATGTTTTTTCAGATTACTTGATTGTGTGAATGTCTTATTACAAATGTCGCATTTATGGGGGCGTATTCCTTTGTGCATCAGCATGTGTTTTTTCAGATTACTTGATTGTGTGCATGTCTTTTTGCATATACTGCATTCATAGGGGCGTTCTCCACTATGCAAAGCATGTGAGTTTTCAGATAACCTTTTTGTTTGAAAGTTTTTGACAAATTTCGCATTTGAAAGGGCTTTCTCTGCTATTACTAGGCTTGTGATCGACCATATGCTCTTTCAATTGATCAGATTCTGCAAATAATTTGCTACAAATGTCACATTCATAAACTGGTGTCTCGACGAACTCCTGTTTGACTTCTTCTTCGATAGTAACCTCGGAGTTCATAAATCTTTCTAAACAGGTTTCATCATCCTCAGTACA